TGCCCGCAGCCCCCGCCCGGTTCCGCGCCCAGCGCCGCGCGCCCCTGCCCTCTGGCCGCCGCCTCTGCCTGGTGAGTCCACCTCTGCGCCGGCCAGGAGCCCCGGGGGAAACTGAGTCCGGGCGGGGGGGTGCGGACGGACTGGGGCGGGGTGCTCGGCGGCGACGGCGGTCGGCGAGGACCCCGGGTCCCGGACCGGAACCCCAGGCCACCCTGCGCGCCTTCCGCGGAGGCTGGGCCAAGGGCGGCGTGGCCGGAGCAGTTCCCTGGCTCCCGCCCGCGGTTGCCACATCCTGACGATGAATCAACCACAGTTGGGAAAATCAACTTCAACTTCGGAGCCGCGGCCCCTCGCGCCCTGCCCTGAACGCCGGGTCTGGAGCTGCCGCGTAGGTGGACTCGCAGGGCACACTGGCTCCCAGGCAGGCCTCAGGGCCTGGAGGCCTGGGGCCGAGCCCCCACCCGTCTCTGGCCCTCCTGGGCGGGGCCAGGAGAGGCCCAGCCTGTGCTCACTGTGGCTCAAATCGCACTGTGGATCCCCTTCCTGAGGTGACCTCAGGAGTGACGGTGGCCCCAGATGGGGGTCTGGTGTCTGCGCAGTCCCCCAGCTGCAACTAGGAGCACAGGCTGTGGAAGTCTGTGTGCCTGGCCTTCTGTGGCCCCCGGCCCCGGCCTTCTGTGGTAGGCCTCCCTTGTGACCAGCGTTCAGGCCCCACCCCAGCCAGACACACAGGGGTCAGAGTGGCAAAGATGCCTGTGACCTGCCTGGGCCAGGAACCACAGGCGCCAGAGGTAGTCTGGGGCCAGAGATTGTCAGGCCCACCCACGTAGAACGTAGAACTCGACCCTGCTCTGCTCCCTCCACAGTGGGGCTAGGGCAGGACCTTCCTTGCCCTCCTGGCCTCAGTTTCCCCTCTGCACTCTGAGGAGCTGGGATCTCCCTGTCACCCTGCAGTGAGGAAAGCCGAGAGGCAGAGGAGACACCCCAAACCCCTGGGAGTAGTCACTTGAGATGGAGTAGTCACCCGAAGCAAGGGATCCTCGCCGGAGCAGATGCCTCAGTGTAGCAAAATTCAGCATTTGCTTCCAGGTCCCGAGTGTGGGGTCTCACACAGCCCCAGCGCCACCAGGCCAGCATGGCCATCTGTCAAAAAGCCATGTGGGCACAGAAGCCCCTCCCCTGACCACTGCCCAGGCCCTGCCTCCCACTCCTCCCCAATGAGATAGCTCCGACTGCTGGACAGCCAGCCCCCAGGGCCTGGACAAAGGGGGTGTTGCAGCAGATAAGGGAATCAGGGACCCGGTGAGTCCTGGGCACCCCCAGGTGTGCCTGGCTGAGGGCGTCCTGAACAGCAGGGAGTTAAGGTCAGGTGAGGCCCCCTCTTTCTGGAGGTGCTGACAGGCTGTCAAAGCTAATTGTGTGCACCCCGCATTCTGAGACCTGCTTTAAATAGACTACTGTCTCCTCCCATCAAAGTGAGTTGTTCCCCAGGGCTGCAGAATTAGCAGGGTCGCGGGGGTGGGGGTGACAGGGTGGGGCTGGCCAGCGTGGGTGCTGCCCAGAAGGGTCGAGCACACTGCGGCCGGACTGGTGGGCCAGAGGTGCTGAGCGCCCTGAGGTAAGCTCAAACCCAGACCCTGGGGGGCACCCAAAGGAAATGTGGGAGTAAGTGCCCCCATCGTGGGGTGGGGCCTGACTCCCTTCCCCTGACTTCTCTTCCACCGGGGTCTTGCACACAGCAGGCGCCTAATGGGTGCATGGCGTATGACCCAGTGGGCAGGTTGAGTCGGAGCCGTCCCTGGGGGAGACTGCACTCTCCTGGCGTGGAGCGAGCTGTCAGGAGGCTGGGAGGTTCAGGTGGGCAGGAGCCTGGCCTGGGGGCACCAAGGACAAGATGAGGAGGCAGGTGTCAACCTGGTGAGAAGGGGGTAGTGCGGAGGCTGGGGAGGTCCCTATCACTGCAGTGGGGGAGCAGGGTGCAGCCTGGGACCCCCCGTTAGGGACCCCCACCTGCCCCTTCCTAGTGGGACTCTGTCCTCTCTGAACACCCGTGGCTCAGCCCCACGGCTGCCCTACCTCCCAGCACCAGTAGGCAGGGTGACATGGTGGCCCGACTGCTCGCTGGTAGTCCCCTCCCCAGCCAGGCATCCTATAGCCCTGACCACAGCAAGGCCAAACAGAGGCCAGGCAGCTGCTGGGGTCTCTTCTGGGGAAGGGTCAGCTCCAGAGAGCAGGGCCGAGCCTGGCCGCAGCACCCTGAGGGCTGTGCTCAGAATGAGTGAAGGAATGAATGCACAAGCCCGTGAGCCCCCCGCCCCCGTGTGCCATGGACACTGTGATGCTTGTCCATCTTACAGATGAGGGAACTGAGGCACGAAGCGTTTGTCCGTTCTCCCAGGGGCTGTTTGTAAAGCTCATACTACATGTGTGGGCTCCCGGGTGGTGCAGTTCACATGCCCGGCCGCTAACTGAAGGGCTGGAAGAGTGCCCAGGGGTGCCACAGAAGAAAGCCCTGCTGACCTTCCTCGGGAGGGTCGGCCGTTGGAAGCCTGTGGCGAACAGTGCTACCCGACACACGTGGAGTCACCAAGAGTTGGGTCAACACAGTGGCAGTCGGTTGGTCACTGCGTGTGGGGGCTGCACCCAGCAGGTGCTTGCCTTGGGCTGGGGATTGGCCGGCACAGCCACAGGCACAGCCGGCAGGTGGATGGGCGGGCGGCGTCTCTGCAGAACTCAAGCAGGCACCAGACCTGCTTGAACAGGACAGGTCTGTCCCAGTCAGGCTGCCTGAGCTGGGCCTCAGGGTAGGGAGGGGGTGGCCACCTGGCCACCCTGAGGCCCACAGACACTGCCCACAGTCTGCTGACCTGGACTGCGAGTGTGTCTCAGCCCAGGAGGGGTCACGCAAGCCAAGGCCTCTCCCAAGCACCATCCAGGACCATGTGCTCAGTGAGCACCAAGGCCACTGTCCCACGAGCCACCCTCCCACCAGCCCCTCACCCCTGCAGCTTTGCAGGGCTGTACCCTGCTTTGAGAGGAGAAGGTCCGGAGATGGGCTTCCTCCCCACACTAAGCCAGCCTGACCAGCCTCTGAGTCCTCAGCCCAGCCCCACCCAACCTTCCCGTCCATGCGGAATGGTGAGGAGACATCGGGGACCAGGCCTCGATGGCTGGGAGGACAGCCAGGAACCAGACTCGGGTCAGGCTCTCTGCCCCTGGTTTGCAGATGGGGCCATTGGTCTGGGAGCCTGGAAGCCTAACCCAGGGTCCGGGGAGGGGAGAGGGCCAGGTGCCTGGCTCCAGCGGGACCCAGTGCCCACCCCCCACCGGCCGCTGGCCAAGCAGGTTACCACTTTGCCTCTGAGCCCCACTCAGCTGCGGTGGGCTGAACCCAGCCCCTCACTGTAGCATCTCCTCCCGCACAGACACAGCCCGACGGGGGGACCCTGGACAGGCAGGCAGGGACCAATGTGTAGATGCCAGGGCTGCGGGTCTGCACTTCTGGGGGATAGTGTGGGCCAAGGCCCAGGTGTGGCTGGGGATGGGTCTGGGCCAGCTCTGCCCTGGCTCCAGTGGACCTCAGCCTCCTGTCTGTGTGGGGCTCCAGGATACGGCCTCGGTTTCCCCGTCTGCGTGGGGCCCCAGGACACAGCCTCAGTTTCCCCGTCTGTGCAGGACCCCAGGGCGTGGCCTCGGTGTGCAGCCTCCTCCCTCGCCATTCTGTCCCGGTTCTGGCTGCACGTACGGCTTAGCACTGCTGCCTGCGCGTGACAGGGGAGGGGAGCAGACATCTGCTCTGTACCTGTCTGGGATGGGGGGCCATAGGGGCTGCCTCCCCCACCTGTCTCTGCCCCCATCTCTGCCTCCTCCCCAGTCCTCCTGGGGCACCAGGATGCTCACATGCCCATAAGGTCACATGTCCACACAAGCACACAGTACATGCATGTGCATGGACACATGCACAGATGCACACATGTATATGCACACAAGCACACACTATACATGTATAGCACACATGCACAGGTGCACACATACACATGCACACACATGCACATATACACAGAAGCACACACTACACATATGCACATAGTGCACAGATACATGTATACGCATGTGCACACATGCTCGTGCACACAATACACATATGCACAGCACACATGCACACATACTACACATACACAAGTGAACATGGTGCACATATGCACACAAACGTGCACAGATGCACCCATATGCACAAATGTGCACATATAAACACACATGCACACACTGCACATATGTATGGCATATGTGCACAGATGCACCCATATGCATGCATACGTGCAAATGTACACACACATGCACATACTACATGTATGCACAGCACACGTGCACACACATGCATAGGCACACAGATGTGAGCAGCACTTGGAAGAGAGAGAGTCCCTTGGGTGCCAAATCTGAACCATCTGCCATCAGATCCACCCACCCATCTGGGGACCCCTGCCTGGTGCTTCCATGTCCAGGGACCCCTGCTTCCCCTTGCTGGGGCTGGCAGAGGGGGGAGAGGGGGCTGGGCAGCCCGGCTGGCCACCTGCAGGAGGTGACAGACAGGGTGGCAGGTGGGATAGCAGAGCAGGCCGAGAGCTGACATGGGGGCTCACCCTCGAGGGGAGGGGAGGAGGGGCTGGCGGAGGTGCAGCACTGAGTGGCTCAGCCAGCCCAGGGCCTGAACGCCCGTCCAGTTCACAGTTGAGAGAGCAGAGTCCACCAGGGCCTGGTGCCTTCCCATCCCAGGGAACAATGCCACGGGCAGTGTGTACCAACACTGGAGATCTGGCTGGCCCGGTTGGGCCTGACAGTCTCCCTGGTGCTGGCGGCCCGAGCTGAGGGTGTGCACCTGGGTCAGCAATGGGCACAGCATTTTACAGGTGGTCACGGGGCCGGGTCGGAGCTCAGCCAGCTGCAGGGCTGGCCCTGAGCTGCCCCTCCTGTTTGTACCCAGGGCCAGGGTTCCGGGGGTGCCCACAGGCATAGCGCGTCAGCGGTGGAGCCAGGCTCATCCAGGTCTCTGGGTCAGAACTGTCCTCACCCC